GCCAAGATAATGATCCACAGACATGACTGACAGGCCAATGCTTCCAGTTATGCTCTAGAAGACAATAGCCTGCATTCTTAGTTGGGGTTCCCATTTATCGGTTTTTAGAAAGAGCCAGATAGAAATCAATTTATTTGTTTCCACTTATCTCAGTGAGTGACACCAAAGGTCATGAGGTGCCAGGTGTGTGCAGAGAACCTGTGTGTCAGGAAACTATTGCTGTGTATCCTAAAAATTATTAGTGATTGGAATTAGCTGGTGTCTCTGCCTAACACTTACAAGCTGCTGGAATTGATCTGACTCTTCTACCTGTTTTTCCAGTGTCACCCAAAGAGCAGACAAGTTTCTCAGAGCAAAGTTCAAATATGAACTTTTTCCAGTAGAAAACCTGAGTTAAATGTTTCCTGCCTTCTCCCATGCTCATGGCCACATGTTCATCACCACTCTCTGAGGTGTCTGGAGCAGCTCATGTCACTGGTGCAGCACCACACTGAGTGGGCAGTGCAGGAAAAGCTCTTGGTGCCCAGGAGCAGCTTTGCTGCTGAACTGTACAGGGGATTACCCTGTAGTAGTTTGGGGTTTCCTAAATTAGTGCCATGAGTAATTCAATCAGGCTCAGGCAACAAAATGGATCCAATCCAAAATTCAATCCAACTCACTTCAGTAGGAAATTACATCTAAATTTTAGATGCCTTTTGAGCCAGTCCTTCTAAAATAAATCCCATATATAGCCAGGGGGAAAGGTAGGTGCCTTTGAGAGCCTCCTAAGGGACAGCCTAAATTGGGCAGGAACGATCTCCCTCTGGAGTTGCTTTTCTAGGCATTTATCTCTCCCCATTGAACATGGAGGGAATTTAGGCACTTAATTTAAGAGAACTAGTTCACTCTGTGCTCAAAACATAGGTGCTAATTAGCTACCCATGCCTGACTGAAAACCCTCCCAATTTAAAGTCTAAATAATTCATCTTAAAGACTAGCATTATGTTATGCCCTAGTAAAACTTTTACAAAGAAACAAACCTGCATGCTTTGTGCACTGCAAACAGATCAAGATCAGGAATGCAGTAAGAGAGGATATAAAATGGGATGGAAGGACCATACCTTAATTACTGCTAAATGATCCTTGCTTTGCATATTTTGAAGCAGTGGGGCTGATGTCAGACACTTTTGACTCTCACAGTACCTCTCCCAAGCACCCAAAAGCCCCACTTACATGCTTTTTGGAATGAAAAATTACATACCCAGCAGTACTGGGTATGAAAACCACCTTTTTCTGCTGTGCTGTTCGCAGAAGACTCATTTGAATTTAGGAGTATCTTATCCTATGGATGAGCATCTTCAGATGTGTTGGTAGTAGGGAATATCAGCCTCCACAGATTTCACACACCCCTCAATTAAAGGAGTGCATGGGCTTCTTCTTTAATTAAAGTGAATCTTATAGAGAGAACTTAAGTTCCTGGAGACATTATGAGAATTTATGGCACCCACTGGCTAAATCAGTACTGAGACACCCCCATTCTCCCAGGCTGAGTCTGCACCACTTGGCTTGTGTACAGATATTGAGCACAGAAATCCAGTGTGGGGTCAGACACCTGGCTCCTGCCCCCAGTGCTGCTTCTCCAGCCCCAGGGATGTTGGGTGACTTTCTTAATTTCACTTTGCTTCCCTCATCTGCAACACAGAGATAATACTCCTCAGCTCTGCAGTGGGGCCAGGCTTGATTCATGAATGTTTTAAGGCATTCTGTGATTTTCAACCTGAAAGGTGCTTGAGAACCATAAATTATTGGTTTAATATAGATCACAGTTTTCATCTCATAAATCTTTTATGCACTACTCCAAACTCATGCCTGATATATCTCTAATAACTTGAGCAGTATTAAGCGAGGGATAAATTTGGTACAGTATATGAGGCAGCAAAATAAAATTCCAAGTGTGAGACCAAGGGCTTAAAAAGTGACATTTCTTACAGACTAATGTCAGAAACCTACCCTACTGCCAAGTTCTGTACAGAAAAAAATATAATTTCATGGCACTCTAACTTGTTAAGTCTTAATTCATCATCAAATGTCTGCTTCACATCAAAATAGTATTTTTCTAATATTTTCTATTGCTATTCACACGTAGTTTGTGTTTATTGAGAATTAGGAGATGTGGTCATGTTTTTGCAATCTGTTTTGACAAAAAAAAATTTGAGTTGAAAGCAGATTATTTTTCACAGGAACAAACCTCTCAATAAGATGTTCCTACAGCTTCTAGTCCTTAGCCATGGGAGCAGAGGACACAGGGCTAGGGAGGATCCTCTGGGTCACAGTCACATCATAAACAGCAGTGTAGAAGGCTTGGCAAAAGACATTTTTAACAGGTGGGCATTTTGTCCCCGACAGTAAGAAAAAAAGTACTGTTCACACAGTTCACTGTTGTGATAGTTCAGTTCTTTGAATTCCCAGACCAGATGTTCTCATGCCCAGTTTAGCATTCTGTTATCAGGCCAATATTTCTCTATAGCTGAAATAATTTTGCTCCTCCAGTGTCATCTGATGACTCTCCCTTTATGTGTAGATGAAGAATAACTACATTCCTACTCAATCTTCATTTTGTTAGCCTAAGCAAGTAAAACTCTTTTAGTCTTCCTTTAAAATGTAATAAATCTAATGAACATAATAAAGAAAATTCTGATGTGATAACCATCTTTGAAAAGGAAAAAAAAATATTAGACCTCATACTTCAGTTAGACTTTGGTAAAATTCAGATCTTTATTAAGTCTTGTCTCCTTCCCCTCCATGGCTTTGATTCTTAACATTATTTCTGGTCTTCCCAGAGTTTATCCTCTGACCTGTGCAGCAGGTTTGGGCAAAAAACTGCCTTTCCAGGTGGTCTTCAGATTTTCTATTCTTCACTGTCTGCAATGAGTGATCTTGGGTACTTTGGTTCTCATAATCTTCATTTTATCCTTCCCCCATTCTTTCCTATTAAAGAAAATTTCCATAGAATGTAATAGGAAACTTGATGAGAGCATTTGAATCTTGTGATCTTGTGATAATGTACCTTATTGATAATTTTATAGATACAGAAACAGAGCATTTCTATGACGTTTTTATATTTACACTGATTCCTACAGAACTTCTTTCTTCCCTCCTGTCCCTCTCCACATGGTCTAGGACTTTATGTGATGTAAATGCAAAAAGAAAAATATATACAAGCAATTTTTGCTGATATCGGGATAAACTTTTAAATTACTAAAAGTAGTTTGGAAAAGACTCAACTCTTAACGTAAGGCATCCACATGTTTTTCAAAATAGTCATGAGTAAGGACTGTCACAAAATCATAAAAAGATAAATTAGATCTACTTAAGTCATACATATCATCATTAGGTAAATTTGTAGACCTGGGGATGATGAAAATCAAATGTGTGCAGTTGATATAAAGGCAATTTCCAATCAAGTGTTGAGACTCACCAAATGAAGCAGGTGCCTTCTGTGCATTGAATGAGACAGCAACCTGGACAGGCAATCCAGAGTTAAACCCCTCATGGTGAATTCCCTGGTGAGCTGCATCTGCAGTCTGGTTTAGCACATGTATATTTGGAGTTTGGGACAGCATCACTGACAGATTTCCAAATTCAGATCCCCACCTTTGCACGTTGTGCTGCACCCAGCTGGGCAGGCAAACACTCATCTGTCTTCCATGGTGCTCATGGAAACTGGTGCAAAAACCTGAGGTTTCAGTGCAAAACTCTGAGGTGCTGTGCAGATGCATTTGTGCACACACAGCAAGTCAGTGCTAGATATCAGCTTAAAGGTTTGATCCATCGAAATAGTGGGCTTGTTATTTCAATAGCTCCAGCATTTTGCTGCAGCTTTGCAACACAGAAATCAAGTTCTGAACAGCAGTGAAACTCATCTGGTTTGCTGTAATAACTTTAGAGATAATCCTCCTGCTGGAGTAGCTCAGGGCCAGTATTTAACAAATATGAGAATGAGTAAATAACCTTTTTGGCCAGTTTTAGTCCATGGACTAAATTTAAAAATTCAAACATATCTGAAATAAAATTTTGAAAATTCAACAATGGAAAAAGAGCTAGAACAGAAGGTCAAGAAGAAGAAGGAAAGGATAAAATAAAGCTCAAAGATGTCCAGAGAAAAGCAACAATGGGAAAACATTTTTTCAGATAAAGAAATTAAGATACTAAGATAAAGTAAGTGCAGGGCACACCATCAGACATGCTTCCAGCTCAGCTTAGGTTTTGATCCTCTAAGCAGAGATAGATGGTAAAGAGGAGACTTTTATTTCTGAGACTTGTACAGTTTTATCTTTTTAATTCCTGATACATTAAATTCCTTGTAACACAGAGATTTCTGTCAGGTACCAGAAAAACAAGCATTCATCCAATTAAAAACATAAAACTTTTCCTAAATAAAGAAGTGTTTTATGAGTCTTTCCACAGTCAGAACTCATGCAGGAAGTTCATACACTCGCCAGGCTCCATCCACTGTCATGCACATGTTGTTGTACGGCAGAGAAGTGTTTTCTGTCTCAGCAGGTTATTGTTTAATGGGCTAATGCTTATTTGCAAGATGAAATGTTATTGTGGAAGTTCTCTGGGGAAAAAAAAAGGCCACTTCCAAAAAAAACCAAAGCCCTGCTTGGCCTCCTGGTGATAGAGAAGGGTAACTTCACCATGGATTTGAAGGGAGCTGCATCAGGCCCTGTAACTTTAGCCCTATAAGCAATAGTATGCAATAACTGCTAAGGAAGAATCATCTTGCTGCTTTATTTTTTGTGTGATTTGTTAAACTGGAATATCATTTTGCCCCAAAATAGTAACTAAACCTTTTTTTTTATTATTATTTTAATCCCAGTGCTATTTGTGCATTGTCTAATTGCAATATCTTACTCTCACAATTAAAAATAAAGCACATGATATTGTGAGAATATGTTTTATTTCTGTAAATTCTGCATCCCAAGAACACTCTGTGACCTGGGGTTCTTTGTTGCTAGCTGGTGAATGAGCAACAGGAGAGCAGACCCCTCCTGAGCCCCTCCATTGATGACTTTCTCTGTGAAACTAAGCCAGAAGCTGTTGCAAGGCCTGTAACATCGAATACTGCAGGTAAACAACATTCTTTACTATCCCTCAGTAGAGAAAAATAGTTTTAGTTTTAGCTTAATTATGGCACATTTTTGTCAAGTGATTTTTTTGGTTTGTTACTGTGTGCACAAAATCACAAGCTGGCATTAAATTATAATTGCCTGACCTGTTAGAAGAAACACTTTGTTCATTACATTTTTGGGAAAATCTGATGTGATTCAAATCACATCACTTCTAGCAGATCTTTGGGGCTGAAATGAATGCAATTTGTTTAAGTCTCACAGGATGTACATGTGAGTTTGAATCAATTCTCTGTATTTGGTTTTGAAAAATTTTAACCTGTGGGAAAACCCACATTTCAATCAAACATATTCATTACTCTAGGAAGAAGTTTTTATAATGGAGTCTTGGATGAGATGTTAGAAAAAGGGGGAGTTTATCCAGGCTGAGTTCACACACTTTATTAGTGAAATGATTATATATTTCTTACCTCCTTTGTGTTGCAACAAGGCAGTACAGAAGGTAATAAAAACTAAGAGTGAATCCCAAAAACCTTTTGAATTATACTGAATTCTGTTTGAAGTATATTGTCCTTTTGGAAGTATTTTTAGAAATTACCCCCTCCTACCCCGTATCTGTGCAAAGGTAATCGATGCTGTTGAGCAGATCAGCTGAGAGACAATAATATCAGCACAGCTCTGCTGTGGTCTCCTGCTGCCTCATAAAAGGACTTGGCTTGTTAGAAGCCATTTAATTAAAATTTATATATATGTAAATTATTAAATGAATAATTGACAGCTGAGTGATTATCTTGACATCTAATTAATGTGTCTAAAGCAGCATGCAAGTTCCAGTAACAAAAGCTGAAATACTGAATTAGATAAATATTGTAAGTAATATTTTCTCCCTTTAAAAAAGATAGCTGAAGATATTAGAGGGATGAATAGAACTATTTCAGGTTGTTTAAGAATGGTGTTTGTTTTAAAGTGCACCTGTACATTTTGCACCTGCCTTGAATATCTATCAGATTGATGTGGGGGTTAATTAGATGTATTTAATAATAAAATAAAAAAGTATTCTATGGAGATTGATGAAATTCAGTGATTTCCAAGAACACAGATAAAGCACTGCAAGAGATAACACAAATACATTTGCCAAAAACACCTGCCCTGTAACACAATGACAAAGAAGGAGTTTTTCTACCTTTTACATGCTAAAGAATTGTGAATGTTACTCTTTAGGCAAATTTTAAAAGAAGAGCTGAAATTGAACATTCCTTTCATACTGATACAATCCTTAATAGAAATGTCATTAGACTTTGTATTTGTGGCCAAAGGGACAAACAACAACAGCAGAAACTACTAACAAATATCATTCCTTTATCACCCAGGTCCCCCCCAGGAGCTGTCTGCTCCAGCACTGCCCTAAGCAGCTGCTACCAGGACTTAACAAATCATAAGATTAAACCAAATCTTATTAAAAGCTCAACTGAGCAGGGAACCCTAACAAAAGAGGGCTTCACCTGTGAAGGCCCCAGACATAAGACCTCGAATCTTTAAGATTTTCAGAGGGAAAGGCTTTTTTGCAAATCCACTAAACTGCATTCAGTTAAGCACTTGAAATCCCCAGGCATATTTTAATATACTGGTCATCATCTCTAGCCAGGAAATACACACTTATTCTAGCCAAATGCAAGCACATCAGTAATTTTTTCCCCAAATAAAAAAAAATCTTAAAAAGTGAGCTATTTGAATTAAAACCACATTGAATTTTAACATTTTGTCTCTAAGTATTATCAACAGGTCTGGATCTCTTGGATCTTAGTGAACCTGTCTTACAAACCCAAAACAAAGCAAAGAAATCAGAGAATCCTTCAAGAAGTGAAGGCTTAAAAGCTTCAGCCCACAGAAAGAAGACAGAGAATCCTGACCTGATCAGTGTGGATTCTGAGCAGAAAGTCCAGGCTGTCAGAGTTGCAGACAAGTCTTCTCTAGATTTAGGTAAGAGTGTAGCTATTTTATCAGTGCTCCATGGCCCTGCTTAGCACAAGTTTCTCCTGGCTCCTATCACAAAATAATGAACACGAGAATTTTTGCTGCACCACATTTCAGCAGTGTAATCTTTGCTCCCCATTATAAACTTCTTGAAACACTTTAAACCTTAAATACTCTGAACACATTTTACATTTTTCCTTTGCCATTCTACCTATTGTCACTAAGTGTGCTAATAAAGTTTAGAAATTTCTTTGGAAAAAGGAATTTAGGGTGTGTAAAATGGTAGAAAAATCTGTAGGGGTGTGATGAGAAATTGGTAAAGGACACAAATGAGAGGCAGCCCATACTGATGTTCTTTTCAGAACTGCAGGTGTCAGAAATGCACATTTATATTTGTAAATACTGTTTTATCTATGCATAAGAGAGAAAAAAATCCATTCTTGACAAGAGAGATATATTTATACAGACAGAAAAAAAAATCCCCAAAACAGCTCAATATCCTGCCAAGTCTGATCTATTGACAAGCTTTGGAAAAGGTGAATTTGATTTAGTTCCATCCAAACTAAATTACTTGCAGTGCAACTGAGAAATTTGCAAGGTAAATGTAATTTATACCAAAGCAGCAAATTTTCCATTCATCAGCACAGAAATTCTTTTAGAGACCTTTATCTTCAAACAGGAACTGAACATCTGATCTTTGCAAAGTGAGTGAGACACATGACTGAATAATATCAGTTGCCTACATAGTCATTTTTACACTTTAGTCTCTAAAAGAAGCTTCATTTTTGCAATTTGTCTAAATTACATACAAATCACTGATTTTAAGTTGAGTTACACTGACATTCTGACAATGAATGCTAACAGATTTAGCAAAATGTGAATTTGCAAATATTTTCACACCATATCAACTAGAAAGGTGCACAATATTTCTGTATGTTGGACCTTTACTAAAATATAGGCTTTGATGGCATTATTTTCTTTATAACACACACTCTGCAGAGGAGATAAAATTTTCAGCAGTAGTTTCTTTAAAAGATTCATATTTTTCTATTCTTTATTTTTCAGTTGATATTCAGACACAGATAGAGAAATGGGATGATGTCAGTTTTCATGGAGACAGGAGTAGCAAGGTCCACCCTTCTGCAGAGCGAACATCATCATCATCCAGAGCTCCATCAAAAGAGATTTTATGGTACAGCTTTTTGCTTTCCCTAAAAAACTATTTTCAGCTCAGCTTTCTTAATTCACAGAAACTCTTGCTTAATAACAAATCATATTATTAAACCTGTTATGATGGCATTAAATGTGTTCAAGTACATATTTTGGACAATGTATCGTTAGCAAATGCATTATAAAATGCCATTTTGTCAGCAATTTTTAATGTTGTGGAAAGTAGCAGGTGTTAATAATTAACAATAAATGGTGGTGAGAATTCTGCAAAGACATGCAGTGAAATCCTTTATTGTGGTGATTGATTTCTAGACACCAACTGAGGCACAGTCTCATGTCTTTGTCTAGCCTCAGTTTCCCTGCCCATGAAATAGAAGAGTGAGAACACAAAGGGTCCAGGCACTTTTGATAACTGCAAATTAAACAGTTCAGCTAAAAGAAATAATCTAATTAATCACTGTGTGCTTGTGAACCTGAAAGACCTAGGGCAGTGTGTCCTAGTGCTGAGTGTGTAAATGCATTATTTCTAGGTCCACAGAAAACAGATCACAGTCTGAGCTGACTAATGTCAAGAGTGCCTTGGACTCTGATTCAGCATCAGAATTAGAACTTGCACCTGCAATACAGGTAAGAGGATTTGGTAGATTTATTAACAATGAAAAGGCAAGGAGGAACTTCCCACTGGCAAACCACTGACATTCTGGGAGAACTATTCAAGGGATATTTTCAGGATCATCAGGGAAAATATCTTCACACACCTCTGAAATGAATAGGTTATGAAATTAACTATCAGCATCTGAAACATTCAGAATTTAATACTGCAGTGAACTGTGACCTTCCTGTACAGAGGGGAAAACTTCAAACTACAGTTTACAGCACCATCTTTTTCCCTCCCTCCAGTTCTGAAATTCAGGCTTCTAGTGGTTCCCTGCCCATGTTAAATATCTATCCTTTATTTCTCTTGGTCAGGCAGGAATCCCCAGAACTGGGAAATTGCTAAGGAAATCGTGAAGCCATCATTACACCAATGTTCATTAGCAGTTTATCTCCACAGGTGGGGGAGCAGTGTGGTCACAGGACTTTTTCCTGCTGGAAAAGGAACTCTAATACGGAGGGCTCTGGGCTAAAGGTTTGTAGATTTGCCCAATTCCACTGTTGTATTGTGTCTTGGACAGGTCTTGTTGGAAATGATTACTGAGGGTTGCATGTGTGTATGCACATACAGGTACAAATGTTTATGTATGCATTCCAATAGATCAGGTTGGTCTATCAGAATGCAGATGTAAATATTTGTACCTGTAGTGATATATAAATATTTGTACCTGTAGTGATAGATCAAATACCTTCTTGGCTGCTTCTTACTTTTTAACTGAAACACTTCAACCATTGCCACTGGAAGGAGGAAGAGAGTTTTCTGGTGGATTAGCTTTTAGTTGAAAATTTTCTCACCTTCCACAGCTATTTTTAGGCCTGGACTTCAAAAACTTTCTGTCAGATAGAAAATCTGGAAATTAATGAAAAATAATAGTCTCATTTGAAAATAGAAAAATGAAGCACTACTTGCCAAATGCGTATCCTGAGATTATACACCATTTTATTTTATTTTTTTTTTGAGAAAGTAGAAACAGAACCCAGTTATCAGATCAATTTTTGGGTTTTTCTTAGGAAAAAACATGTCCTTTACTTCCTTGCCATCTCTACATTACAAACAGGGTGATTTTTTCCCCTCTGGAAGCCCCACACCAGTTGTAATGCATGATATTTCTCTACAATAGATTAGTACATCTTAGTAATGGAAAAGATCTATTACACAATGCATCCATTTGAAATGGATGGTGTGTTCTCACATGCTTTGTCCAGATCATATTGAAGCACCTCTGACCCTTTTTAGGAAGCTGTTCCTCAGCCAATAGATCTAAATTCTAGGACATTTGTGCCAAGGACATCAACCAAGATGTGTGTAAGTCAAGTAGACAGTCACAGGATTTAAATGCTGTGGCTTTCTGTAAAAGCAATTACAAATGCAGTGTATCTCTACTTTATATGATCCATTTCCCTTTTATCTTCCACTAGAAAAATTGCAGAAGCAAAAATCCACATTTTTCACTCAGTTTACTAAATTCAGTCAGTCGAGGCTCCATAATGTTTTGTAAAATGACTGATATTTCAAAATAAAAAACCATGAAGTTGAAGAAGCCAACTTGAAAAAAAAGCAGAGACTAAATTTCTTATCTGTTGTCTCAGTACATTTCATGTTTTGTTTTGGTTTGTTGTAACCTGCTCGTCTCAAACTTGTGGTCCATTTGAGCAACAAAATGTTAAACTGGCAATTATTAATGCAGAGAAATGACCTGAAGTGACAATGTGTTCCTGTTCTAGGTAGGTTACTCTGAAATGTGGTTTTGTTCACTGCCTGCTTCATCCTGCTCGTACTTGGACTGTCAAAGCTGTCAGCTCCCAACACACAGGCTCATCTGTCTTGAGCGAGTTCTTAATCTGCTTGCAAAAGAAATCACGTTAGGGCTTTTATCAAAGCATATGTTTGCCATACTTTGTCCTCTGTAGGTCTTGTCTATCTCACTTAAGGGTAACCTTTGCAAATGCAACATATTCTGCCATACCCTAAAGACTTCATCTTATCAAACTTGCTGCAGTTTTCCATCAGCAGTTTCCCAATCACCTCATCACTCATCTTTGACATGTTACATTTAGCTCCTCAAAGTGAAATGCTAAGTAGGTCATATTTTCATTAAAATTATACAATCTTCTTAACAAAATCCTTTGTTTACCAACACTTGTGCCAATAAAAAATCCAAAAGACAAGCTTTGAACTACGAAGGGAGAAATGTGTTTGAAGGCTGTAATGGTCAGGTCACTGGTGGCTGTCACTGGATGTGGCTATCTGGCTTCTCATCATTTACTCACATCATATTTTACATATTATAAACTCTTAAATGGCATTTTCCCAAAGTATCCTTGTTCTTTCTTTTATCTGCCATTCTGAAAAGTTCCTTGTTATGCTTTTATTGGTATTGAGATATCCTACAGTGTTTGGGGAGGAGGGGAGGATTCTGAAGGTTTATTTTTAATCTTAAAATTATAAACTGCAGGGAGAGATATGTTTCATTGTTTATGCATAAAGTCTGCTCATGTTTTAACTCTTTAAATATTTTCCTGGGCATTTTAAGTATTTAATTTCTCACACAGAGTGTACAAAAGCCCTGTCATGCTAAAAATCTGTACCTAATTCTAACATGTCAATGCTCTTAGACAAAGGTATAGTGAAAATCTTGTAAAACTCATAAATCTCCAGTTTGAGGCAACAATATTTAGAACTCAAAATTAATTCCTCACTTCTCCCAGATAGCTACAGAAAGACTAATGGCCCTAACTTTGCTTGGATGTGCCGCTTACTCTAAAGAAATGAGGAGTTGCAGGGGACAGATTTAGTTCATTATTTGAAGACTTGATCAAAAGTTAAGATTGCAGTTTCAGCCTCTCACCAAGAGTTAAGGTCCAACAGCACATGAGGAGAATACAAGTGCAGGAAGGGGTTGGAATGGAAAGGTTTGTCCCTGAGCACAGAAGCCATGATCAGCCACAGCATCTCCATTGCAGAGAGGTGAGAATATCAAACCACAGCACCCAGTGTCCAGCCTTGGACACAGGCTGACCCTGGTGGGGCTCCCCAGGGGAGGGCAGGGTGCCACCCCAACACCTGCTGCAGCTGTGCAGGTCTTGTGCTGCCCCTCCACTCCCATCCCCTCACCCTGGACTGGCAAAAGGCAGCAAGTTTGGGCTCTCATGGGCTCTTCACTACTGGGTGTCACAACCCACAGGAGCACTCTGCATTGTCTGCACGCAAATGCAGCTTATGTGGCTTTTGTTAACGACCTTTTTCCCCCTCCTGCTGTAGTGGAGGAGAAAATCTGTTTCTGTGGGGATGATGTGGGGACAATGTATGCTCTGACATGTGGAGGGGATCTCAGTGCTTCTTGTCCTCTTCCCCCTCGCCCCTGTGCTGCCCCTGGAAGCTCACTGTGCCCTCCTGCAGTACAGCTCAGTCTGAACATCCTCATTTCCAGGAGTGTCCTTCACCTAAGGAATGGCAGTCACTGGAAACAAAAGGGTAAAAAGCAGAAGTAATCAAATGGTTTGCTGGAGCCAATCATAAATAATGAAAAGGCCAGGAGCACAATTAGAGCCTATCAATAGAGTTCTGTGTCAAGAAAAACAAATTTAATTCTTTGATCAGATTACAGGTTGAGTTGATAAATGTTGATTTGTGATATTCTACAAGGGTTTTGAATTACCATGTCATACTCTGATTGTAAAATTGGCACCACACAATGTGAATAAAGCCAGTTGTTAAAACTGGCCAACCTGCCTCAGGAGCAGTCTCAGGAGCAGTAGTTATTTACTAGGAATTATAATCACATAGGGATTTGTTCTGGGATTCCAAAGAGGAACAATGTTCTTCAGTTTTATTGATCTGAAAATAAACATGCTAGCCAATTCCTCAGAATATTTCCATATGATGCAACAGTGGAATCAAAACAATTAAAATAAGGGATATATAAAAAGGAGCTGGTGATCAAGGCATCTCTACAAATATATTATATATAAATATATTTGTTGCAAAACTATCCCTTGGAAAATCACACATTTCAGATCAAGAATGCAGGCTCCACTTACAACACTTACAAACTGCTGGAAGGCAGTTTGAAGCAACAGTATAATTCCCTGTGCAGAACTGGGGGAAGAGCAGTGTGTAGAAGCAAACATAATTAGTGGGAGACAGGAGATCACCTGATTTCTGCATAGAGAAGCAGCAAGACAGGTACTGGAATAAAGGGCTCACTTTGCTTGTCTGTATGGCTATAAAAAATTAAGAGGTACAGTAAAAGTGACAGAAAAGGTTAAAATCTGAATGTTTTATATTGAGAACATTTAATATTGCGATGCTTTTATATCATTAAATGTCCTCATGTCACTAAAACCTGATTAAAATAGTCAGTACCTTTCTACAGAGAAAATATAGTGTATTAAAAAGTATGGGAAAAAGTAAGAAGTAATAGAGGGAAACTGGAATTAAAATTAATAAGAGGAATGAAGATGGCAGTTAAACAAATTGCAAACAAAGTGATGACATTAAGGTCTCTTGCTAACTTTAAATTAAACCCAAGCAGCTTCCTCAAAGATATTTACTCCAGACAACCTTAGTTTATTCTCTGAAGACCATAATTTTGGTTCCATGGGTGTTGAGTGACAAATGCCATCATGTGATACGCAGACAAATGAATTATCTGAACCTCTTATCTCTTCTGCCCTAAATTCTATTCATCTGGAAAAGAGCTGGTTTATGTCTAAGACTGGGTTTTGGTTTGTTTCAAATGAGAACCTGAAATATTTTCCTGGCCTCACCAAAGGAAAATAACATTTTCCAAACAGGGACTAGAGGTAGAAGATGTGAAAGCAGAAGCAATTGATCCTCAGGGCAGACATTCCCTCACACTCTGAGTTTCCTGTCAGAGCAAAGTCCAGAGGCCAGCGCAGAACCCACGCAGTGCCCACCACGTGCTTCTCACAGAAATTGTGTTGTATCGCTGTTTTCTGACCCTGTGTGTTTCACCCACTCAACGTGCATTTCACTCATCACCCTCTGGGAGACCAAAGCCTCAGGAACAACACAGAAATCCTAGAGCTCATTTGGCAAATGAATGTCACCTTCCTGGGAGAGAAGCCATATGTGTACAACCAGGAGAAATGTTTGTCCATACATCGCACGTGACATGTGAGAGCTCAGAAACGTGTCTGATGTCAGTGACCATTCCAACATCTGCAGAGACAGCCCAAGGAGTCTGATATGATCAAAATTAGTCTTTTAGCAGTGTTGTTCACCGAAATTGAATATTACAAGTACAGTCATCAGAAATATAATCAGGGAAATTAATGCAATTGGAAGCACGGGCACACAAGTGGCTAATGAGTTTAACCTCTTGACAAACACTAGGGAAGGGATTAGCAGTCAAAGCTTTGTTTAGTAAGATTAGGCCACTTTGTGCCTTTTCTGCCATCCTTAAATATTGTTTGGTTTTTTACAGTGCTTTTTGTAAAAATAAAATAAAATAAACAACAAAAAATTTTTTTTAGAAAAAGAACAGAGAAAAAGTTGTTATGTGCTTCCAGTGGGATTGACCAATGTTACATAAGGGAGGCGCTGATTGTAAAAAGGATTTGCCCTTCCAGTGAAATCCAGGGCAAACCTGGCTCTCTAATGTGATCCCAAAAGAAAACCTGAAGGAAAACCAACAAAATGTGCAAGGAAAAAAATGTTTTCCTCCTGGATCCTAGTCAGTGGAATGCATTCCTACAGTCATAATGCAGAAGGAACAAGTAATATAAAAGTCTCATCCAAAATAGTCAGCTCTCTCCTTTTGTAGTCCAACTCTTACATTGCCTTTTCTCGGATGTCTCTTATCTTTCACATATCTTGAGTGAAAAGAAAAATCTGGAAAAGATAAATTACTCTGCTTCCCATGAGAAGTGGTCTCTGCTACAGTGTAAGAGAATTCAGAGGAATTCATGCAGGGAACCAAGTAGTTTTCCCCAAGAAAAAAGCCATTTGGGGCTCTAGACAATTAGGGAAATAACTCAGAAGTGTAACAGAGAGTCTATCATCCCTTTCTAATTTACTCTTTTGTTTTTTAGGCACGGTCAAGTAAGGAGCAGCGTTGGGGAACACCTCTTCTCTCCAGAAATCACTCCTTGGAGGAGGAATTTGAAAGAGCAAAGGCAGCTGTTGAGGTATTATTTCATTTACTGTTTTCATTTTCAGCTGATGTTCTACAGATTTCCTTTTTATCTTGCAGCACAAGCAGAGGAGAAAGTTGGAATTGGATTATTTAAAGCAGAGAAAAGATGCAATTCATGAAGCTATTAATTTAAAATCACAGCTTGTCTCTTTAAAATAAAGGAAATCCAAAACCCTTAGCTATAAAAAACATTAGAACCAAGTTTTTAGGCTGGATTTTTATTTGTTAGAGCATATGGATAAATGCCCCATAAATGGAGCTAATCCAAACCACAAGTAAAAGAGGGAAACATTTCTCCCCAGCAATTCTGTGCCATCAGTTCTTTAAGCCCAGACACAAACCAAGCCTCCACTGTGAAACCAGAGCTCAGAATGATGAACTGCCTGGTGTAAAGCAGAGCTGTACATAAGCACCAACCATGCACAATTTTTCACATTTTTACAACTAGTGGCAGAATGATAAGCACAGGAGTATTCTTGTTTTCTGGTAAATCTATTTGGTTTGAAAAGATAAAGGTATTTGGATAGTTCTCCCATTGCACTTTTGGTTTCTTTTTCACTAACTTCTACATTTCCAGCATCTAAAACCTCTCCTGAGTGTTGTCCTACACCACTAGTCCAAATTAATCCTGTCTAGACACAAAGTAGAATGCAGGTTTTTTAATAGAACTCAACAGAAAATTAGATATAAGCATTGATCTGGAGCATCATTATCTTCTCAGGGGTTCCATGGGCAACCCTTCAAAACCCCATTGCCACAAAGAGCCAAGAGAGCTCAATTCCAGCAAGGACAGAGCTTCAGGCTAAATTATGTAACAGCTGCTAAAATGAGTTCTTAGGGTGCAGAGGATGAAGCTGTGAAACCAGTTCCTCAAAACTGGTTATTTTTAGCATGGACTGCAGGCTCATTAGTCTCCAAACCATCTAGAACATTTTAGGGATGTTTGAGCTTAAATTTAAATTTTAGACATGTATTTTAATACTCTTGTAATTCGTTCTAAGCCATTCTAATTCCAGTGTTGACAATCAAACTATTCTGGATTAATATTGGCTGATGAGAAACAAAACTATGCCTAAACCTGAAACTAGCTTCTAGCTAGAAAGAGAATTTCTTGTTGAAGTAACTAATCTGATTTGTAGGTTTTTTTCATGATATGCTATGGTAAGATGCAGGGTTTCTAGCATGGTTTCTTGGGATTTTATTGCACACACAAAACTGAACACAATCAGTAAATTAGCTCTTTCATAAACTAAGCATGGAAGGCATTTTTTATTTCCAGATCAAATAAATTCTTCATAAACAGCTGCTGGTGAGGCACAGGAGATGTTTTTGATGTCTCACATCATACACATTTGCTCCTGGCAGGAAAGGGGGGAACTTGCTTTCAGATTGCCACTGCTTAAAATACTTCAGATGTTCCCAATTGCACTGCAGGCTGATCCTATGCTGTGACCTGTGCAGGCAGCACAGGGAACGTGATGCTGAACATCTCGGTGCAAATGATGTCAGTGCTCCTGCAACTGCCAGCAACTTGTGTGATGGGGAGTTCCAGACACTCAGCAGAAAGAAAAATGAGTTGAGTCCAACAACAGATTACAAGACGTTATTGAGTTACTTTGCAGAGTAAAGTAAGGAGGAGAATATATTGTAAAAAAAAAATAAAAAGTCTTGCAGACTAAAAGGTCAATCTGAGGCAACAGAGACAGGTTGTTAAAATACTTTAGAGTAGTCTCAAAAATGGCTATTAAGAAGAATCAAATTAAATGTTTCCCCAAATGTAGCTGGCAGCCTTAAGTTATTCTTTCTGCTTAAAATAGAACCTTGGGCCAGGTAGTTAAAATGTAAAGGAATTCTTCAAGACCTTATAGAGCAGTTATTTCCATTTGCATATGAAAAGGGCTGAATTTTCATCCTAGCTAAAATGAAGTGGTAAGAAAGCTGGAGTGATTGAAATAAATTGAGGCCCATCTCAGCAAGTTTAGTGCTTTGTTAGGCAGAGAATAGATACAGGTCAAAAATTCATTTTTTAGGCTTTAGATGTTTCTGTAATATTCTTTGATTGGGAAAGCTCCAAGTGGAAAGATTAGCCAGAAAACTGATCAAGAAAAAGAAGTAAGTCTCAGGTTCTTTGTGGCCTAGTTCAAAAGGAATTAATTAAAAATTCAGTAAATGAAGACACCAAACTTTATCCTCCACCCTGTATTCACTTCAGAGCTTTGGGAATGGTTTTAAGATGTCAAACTTTGAGATTAATGAAGATTTGTGAGGTAATTCTTTCTTAAGAAGGTTTAAAGATGTCTATGCCATTGGGGAATCTTTTAAGAATAAAGTGGTGAGTAAAATAGCTTTTTACTAGAGAGGGTCCAGATTCCCCTGCAGTGTTTGGGTGCTTGTAGACCTCACTACCTTTTCTGTTATTCTGGAAATTGTACTTGATTTTTGCCTCATGATCTTTTGTCTCAATAATTTCTAAGTGCTGTAAGAACTTTTATTCTTACTTTATTATTATAAAAAATAGAATTATTTTTTAACACAATCTTTCTAATAATTAGCTCTATTTCACCAAAAATCGCTACTTTTGAATTTTTAAAAAATGCCAGGATGGGAATTCCAATCCATCCTGTACTTACATTCCATTAAAACAATTGTTTTCTCAACCACCATTCTCCTGGTGATGGGTAAGAATAAATAAAAATAAAAGCAAGGAGGTGCAAAAATTTCCAGCTTTGTGTCTCTGAGATGGAAAAAAAGGTGTTTTGTTATTTTCTTATCCCATATTTCTCTGATTAAACTGCAGATGCCACACTGTTTTGTGAGCTTATGCGTAAGAATTTTTGAGCTGTCCTTCCCAGCATCATTTTATTTACAACACAATGTCACATGAACCATCTGCTGTGTAGTGTACTGCTTTGAAGCATCAGAGCACATTACAGCTAAATTATGTGACAATAGGAGGAAAAAGATGGGATTAATTTGTTCTAGCCTAGGAAAACATATTCCAGGACCATCAGCTTTATGGTTCCCATGAGTACTGGTTGGAGTCCTTTCTGTACCTACAATGTTCCTGTCTCACTATTACAACATTTCTTTGGATGGGCCTAAAACTGGGCAAACCATATTTTAAATTAGCAACTAGGAACTTGAGTCATTCAGATGCATTTCATTTGATACTCTTTCAAAACACAGTGGGAATCTTTGCCTTGATAAACATTTTTTATCTTTAAAATGTAGGAAAATTTTCAGATTTTGTTTCAAGACAATATCAAAGAAATGTTGCCTAGTTAAGCACACAAGTTTAACTCACTGTGTCTTTCACATCAGAGTATTGTAATAGAATAACTCAGAAAACAATGACAGAACCTTTATTATGCATTGGTCAATTAGGAATACTGTAAAGTAATTTTTGGAAATACAGGAGAGGCAAAATTCTAAAAGTTATGACAATAGGTAAATTTATAAATACATCTCCTTCCCCCTTTCATTGGATCGTAGGAAATAGAGAGCCTGGAAATATTTTGTCTCCCATTTGTTTAACTGCTTCAGCATATTTTTAAATACTAAGAGTAAAAATAGCCTCTTTGAAAAAATGCAGAATTTTCTGCTTGGAAGCAGTCAGATGGTATGAACATTTTTCCTGGTTGTCATTCCTCTTAACTGCTGCAGATGATCTAAGAGTGTGTTAAATGTGTTCAACTGGTCTGAAAACTTTTGGCTCGTGCAAAGTTCTTCACCAGCCTTAAGGTGGCAAAAACACTGAAATGAGGTTAATTGGCAGCAGTGGTGTAGCAAATAGAGTTAAAAATAGATCTAGCAGCCTTGATCCAAAGCCAGGTTTTCATAAGGCTCAGTATTCATTTAACCCTCCTGCCACTGAAACCAATGAAAAAATTGCTACTAATGGCAGCTGAAATAGACTTAGACCTTCAGCAAAGAGTGTAATATTTACAATATTTAAATGTGTGTAGTATTTACAATTCTCTTCCTCAAGGACCTTGCACTGCTCTGCTGTTGACATTGGTACTGCAGCACTGGGTCAGTGCCTGGTCCAGGGGCTCAGTGCAGCTTTTCTGTACCAGAACCCCTCGTGCTGAATGTCCTCAGGATGCTGTAGCCTGGCCCAAACAAGCAAATCTTTCCTTAGCATTGCAAAATGGTCCTGTGTCCAAGTAGTGTAGGGTGAACTGAGAGATTATAGCAAAGCTGGTCTTCTCCTCATTGCATTTTCCCTTCTCCTTTGACTCTCTGTAGGTGGACATTCAGGAGGGTTACCTGGGAGCACAGTAATTCACTGGTTTTTTTACGTGGAGTATAAACACTGTGAATTTCTGTGAGAATTATAAATATATAATTGAACAGCAGAATTTAAGACCTAATTCCATTTATATGCTTGCTTACTATCTGCAGAAATATGATTTGATGTTTCCATACCATTGATTCATAAAGAATTTTTGGGGGGAAAATGCAAGCAAAAATTCCAATATAAATATCATACTATATATATATATATATATATATATATAATTACTTCTATAAATTAATCTGGCTAAATAAGGCCATTACTGATTAGTTTTTGGTAGTTTTATTAATTTTAATCTGAAGGAAAGGGAAATTTCCACTTTTTTATTTCATGCTGAATCTCAAAATTACTGCTAGTTAAAACACGATCACATAATTTTTATTTCAGTGCAGCGCAGATTTGTGCTGAATGAGAAGCAATTGATGGAGGCATCTGTTGAACAGGATATTTTTAGGGATCCAATTGCCTCTGGTCATAGCTGATAGGAGTTAAAGAGGGAGTGATCTGACTCATCCCAGCCTTTTCAAACCCTAAATGGACATTTCAGTACAATCTCACAACTCTTTATATGAATGTATTTTCTTCAAGTCTGGCATGAGAGCAGATCCTGAAGTGGTGTAACAGATTGGTCAGGGGCAGTTCACTTCTATTACCTGGAGTGAAATCTCCTCTCCAAGGGTGAATGATTCCCAATTTATTTTCTTTTCCACTGAGGAGCATAGCTGATACCTTCACACATCCAATAACTGCATGATTCAGACCATCCTGTATTGAAGACAGAATTCAGGCAATCCTGAATTTCTTCCTGGATGGAAGATGGTATGCTTTCCTTTTCCCCAGCACCTAAGGAGGGTTGCAGCAAACCATGAAATCACAATCTAAGCTCTATTTTTCCAGCCATTTCTGGCTGTGGAGTTGTACCAAAGTTGTCAGCCTTGTAACAAAGATTCCCACAAAACTATCTGGACCAGTTCACAAAACCTCCAATTAATTTTGATCAGCACCTTGCTCTCAAATGGTTCTGTCAAAATCTCAATAGATTTATTTGTGCTGCTGTCGTTGATATAAATAAGCTGAGAAACTGTGCCCCCAGTGCTGTCAGCTCACTGAAACACTGGCCATGTCCTTGTAGGAACTGGAGAATTTTGGAAAGGCTTGTAGTTCTCTGCAAATACTCTGCTACAGATCGCCTTTTCAGAGTCCCATGACTGGTGTGTGGAGGCTGAAAAAGTAGCACCTCAGTTTGGATTCTCCCCTTCCTTAATTCTATTTCTATTTCTTGGCATCATTTTCTAGTAGCCACAGTTGTTCCCTCCTTCTGGTCGTTGCTAATCTCATTCGTTGTCCTAAATCTCATCTGTTTTTCATAATTTCTGTTTCCCTTGTATGTGCATTTTTCCCTCATCTTTGAGCTGAATATTAATCTTACTGTGTGATTTTATAATCTCTTGTAGATTCCTCTCACCAGCAGAGTATACAATGCAGCATTAAGATTTGTCCACTATGTCAAAAAGCCCAATTTGTATTACATCTCTTATGCAAACACCCTCTCTCTAAGCTTTGACATTTCTCTTTCTCTTAGCTGAAAATTATGCTGAATATACAAAGTAAGCAATGCTTGCTCTCTTTAAACTGTTTTATCTATTGTTATTCTTTTGCATATGCACTTAGTTGGTTTTTTCTTTTTTTTCCTTTTATTTTTTCTTTCTTTTCTTTGTCCAGGGACTTGCACCATTAATTGCCTTCAAATTTTATGTAACAATTTGCTGTTAGCATCAATAAGATGCAGTGTAAGCTGCTGCAAATCCTGCTTCAAACAGGACATACGCTGCCTCTGAGATAAAGAGTTTTCTGTTGACAAAATGCTTTCCAATATAAGAGATTAAATTTAATTATATGAAATTCTAAACAGGAGCTGTAGTATTTCAGTCCATGTGATTATTAATAGAACTAATACTGCTCAGCAAAAGTGACACTGAGACCACCGATAGAAAGAAATACAAAAGGTTTTTTTCAAAAAAAAAATACCTTAATTTTAAAGTTTTGTTGTTCATTTTCTCTTTTCCTCCTTTTCTTCTAGTCTGATACAGAGTTTTGGGATAAAATGCAAGCAGAATGGGAAGAAATGGCTCGCAGAAACTGGATTTCAGAGAACCAGGAAGCACCAGGGCAAGTCACTATCTCAACCATTGAGAAGGTAACACCAAGTTTTTTATTGCAGTACATCCCCCCTGTGCAAATTTGAGATGAACCTCAGCTTTTCCAGGGAACCCAAGGAAATTCTGTGGACAAGGAAGCTAATTTTACCCCTAAGAGCTCATCCTCTTTGATTGCCTGTGAGTGGGGCAGATTAGAAGACCTTAAACAGTGAGAATATATTTAGACTTGAACACAGCCTAAAATCACCTGAAAAGATCACAAAGCAGCTCTGGATTTATGGGCACTTTTGAAGACAGCCACTTAAGGAAAAGCAAATAAAAATACCTGGGCCAGAACTATTGAGGATAGAAGTTATGGAGATTCCATCCCTTTTCTTCATTCCTTCCACTCCATATTTTAATTGGATTTCTGTTATGCAGGTGATATTACCACACACCCTTTACACTGCAGCATAAAAACTTAAGAGTTTACTCTTAACAAGAGAAAAAGGCAAAACTTAAAAGAATACTAAAATAAAGTCAGGTGCTTGCATCACTGTTCTGGAAGGTTAATTGAAGATTTCAGGACTTCCACTGAGCAGCCATGAGGTTATGAGCACTGCAGGGAGTCAGCTCCTTGGTGTGTGCTCATCACATTGGATGTCCTGGGTTCAGAGGTCAGTCCTGCTCTTCCTCAGTCACCTTGAGTTGTTGACATTATCTTTGGTGGAGAGCCCAGCACAAGTACCAGTAAGTAAAATGGAGCTAAAGTCAAAATAAAGAGAGCAGAAACATAAATGCCAGGTGATGTGACTTTTTACACTTTTTGTCATTGAAATTCCACGGGGGAGCTCGTGCCATTTCCACGGAACAAAGGTTGTTTACACCCAGCTGGAAAATAGTGAGTCATTGCATTTTTTTAGACTTGTCATTCCCTGCAACTTGTCACTCATCACGGGTCCATTATCTCTCTTCTCCAGGGTTATTATTTCCACACTGACAACCCCTTCAAAGACTGGCCTGGTGCTTTTGAGGAAGGACTGAAGAAAATGAAGGAAGGTGACCTGCCTGTTACAATCTTATACCTGGAGGCTGCAATTCTCCAAGAGCCCAACGATGCCGAGGTATTCGCTGCTGTGCCTTTTCCTGGCAAAGGGAAAGGGAACTCCCTTCTGCATGGAATGATGGAATGATTTCTGAGCTCAAACCTTTGCCAGTCATGACTGACTGAAACATTGGATTCTAAGGGTTATGAATTAATGTGTGCCTTAAAATAGATAACAATGAGTTCTTCGTAGGATGAGACTGTTTTTGAAACACCGTTGTTTGAAATATTTCAAACCTTCCCTTCATATCCTGATGTTTTCAAACTATCTTGTAAACACTGCTATAAAAAAGATGAATATTTCTGATTTAATAAGATTGTTGAAAAAATTTTTTAAGTTATATAAATTTCTTCACTGTTGCTATTTTCAACTAGTTTATATTTAAAGTCTGTTTTCTGTGAAATGTTAAAAATATTTATGCTGTATCTAGGGCTCTTTGAATCTACTGCTACATTAAATTAAACAGCATATTTTAAAAAAGCTGAGAATCAGAAGCTCCCTAAAAACCCCTAATATATATAATATACAACTAAATATTTCTTCTTCTCTATTTTCCATAAAATTGTGGCAAAATTTAAAATGTGCAGTAACTCAAATTTAAGAAATCAGCATTTGATTATACACTGACAGAATACCCATGCATTCATTGGCTGTAAATATTTATTAGGCCTGAAGATATTCAGAACTACATTGATTGGAACTGTTGGTGTGCACACTGTAGAAAAATCTGTGGTTAGTGCTGGACATATCTGCTGCTTTTCCTCACCCCTGCATTTAACAGTGATAATGGTTGTAACTCTGTTTGCAGTTGGATATATTTAACAAACTAAATGATTATTATTTTTGCAGGCCTGGCAGTTCCTGGGTATAACACAGGCAGAAAATGAAAATGAGCAGGCAGCCATCGTGGCCCTCCAAAGGTAGGGGGAGATGAGTCCTAAATCTGGGGTCTGATGAGCACTGGGTAATGAGGACCTGGGGATATTTAATGTCATTCCTGTCTTGGAATGTGAAGCATTAATTTAGCAGAGTAGAGCATTGACACAGATACAGAAACTCCCAGTGACTTCAGAGGGATGACTAGTAATTAATATTTCTGTTTTATTAAATAAGTGCAATATTTCATGGAGTAATTTAAGTGCATGCACAAAAGAATAGTTACATGGCCTGATAAATATGAGTTAGGCATGATGCAAATGAAGTGCCTCTTTTACATTCCAGCCACTTGGCATATTTTCTGTAGTCTGTCCTTTAATGAAGAGGTTTTCTTAATTGGAGTGAGCTCCCTTCAGCTGCTGAATGCTAAACTGCCAACATTTTTAGGTTGGTGGAGATGTGAAGATCACAGAATTGTTGCACATAAAATGTGAGCTCCAAAATATCATCATTATTGTTATCTTTCTGTAATGGGTTTTTATGCTTCCATTTGAAGCAATATTCCATTGCATCAGCACTGATAACCATGAAGTTGTTTCACCTAAGGATACTCAATCTTGTTTATATGTCCCTTATTAGCTTACCTCGATAGAAATCTAAGAGGTGCTTGATTTAGGAGCTTGCTCATCCCATTTTCAAAAAGAGCAACAGCGATGATTATGATTTTCTTTACATGAATTATTTTGGAACAATTCAAGCATTGTGCTTGGCTGCAGAAATATCTTAATATATTCTTATATTTTCTGCCTAGGTGCTTGGAACTGCAGCCAAACAACCTGAAAGCTCTGATGGCCCTGGCTGTGAGTTATACCAACACTGGCCATCAACAAGAAGCCTATCAAGCCCTGAGAAACTGGATAAAGCAAAATCCAAAATACAAGTATATAGTGAGAAGCAAAAAAGGGTCCCCAGCACTTACCAGGAGGATGTCTAAGACAGCAGATGAAAGGTAAATGCAGTGAAAAACCTCATGGCGGAAATACTAATGATATCCCTAGGACTGATGGTGCCTACTGTGTCCCCTTGTTCTGTAGAAATCTAGCCTGTTCCCTATGATGGAAGAACATGTCTTTAATGTCTCTAATGTCTCTCTAATAGCAGGAGAGGGAAGCCAGCAGAGAACATTTGATTTAATGACTGAAGGCTTTATCTTTTACACCATCCCTGGAAGTTAAGAAACCAAAAAAAACCCGAAAAAAGCTAAAAAAAAAACAACTATAAAAGGATACTTCTCCTCAACTCCCATCACTTTCCTCTGTCCCTGTCTCCTGCCTTTGCATTCCCACATCCTGCACACATCCTTCAGCTGCTTCCACATCCATTCCAAGCCTTTATCCAGCTCTACATGTGTGTGTTTTTCCTGCTGTTCATTGTTCCTACTGTTTTACCATATCCCAACCCAGTAGAATCCAGGAATGAACCATTTTGCAGTGCAAATTGAGTTCACTGAGAGTATTGAGAGGTGGAACCTGCTTGTTTAAAACCTGTTCTGCTTCTAACCAAGAGACAACACAGCCATTTGATTCATCTTCAATCATCTTAAATACAAAAAAATCATCATTTGGCAGCCCTTCATCATGATTTCATGAGGACACTAAACAAGTACCTCTGGACTGTGAGATGCATAATAAAGTCATTAAAGGCATAAACATGATTTAGAGAACCAAACCACTCAGGCTATCTCACTGCTTGTCATTTTGAAGACAGGCCTTATGTTTTACCCTCATCACTTACAAGTCCTGGGTTGACAAGATAATTTTGTATGAGTGAAAATAAAATATGCAAGTTCTGCTTAATTGCTAAGTGTGTTATTCCACTTTGGCTTCACCCTGCTGACATCTGGTGCTGTCAGTGCAAAGGCTTTTAGAAGCTACAGTGGGCACAGAAGTCTTCTTATGTTTTGGCATCTTCCTTCAAGGGTCTTGGCTGGTCCTTTATCTATTCCTCTTAAAAATACTACTATTTTTGCCAGTTAAGTTCTGTTTTATGTCTGAGAAACTTATCTAATTTGAATACTTTTAATAAACCTTCGCGTCACTCCACTTGGGTTCATGGCTGTTCTTTGACCTCATTTCACACACTTTTTTTATTTCAGACGTGGGTTTGCAACAGCACCCTGAAGTAAACCTTGGCCATGGTGAAGAAGCTCATTCACAAATTTTAGGAGCATAACATTTCTGATAAATCCACTACAAAGATTTTAATTTCAGGCTATACAATCAACATTGAAATATTTGTAAATGACCATATGATGGATCTTTAAGTTATTTTTTTCCCTTGTCCAGCTCATTACTTGAAGAAGTAAAGGATTTGTACCTGGAGGCTGCTCACCAGAATGGTGATATGATAGACCCTGACCTGCAGACAGGACTTGGGGTTCTTTTTCACCTGAATGGAGAATTTAACAGAGCAATAGATGCATTTAGTGCTGCTTTAACGGTTCGACCAGAGGTACATTTTATACTTTTACATTTTTAAAAATTTAGCTTTACAGGCCATTTCCTTTTTCCTGTCTGGATCAGGCTATTATTAATGACATGCCACTTCTGCCATTAAAATTTTAAGACCTGAAATAGAAATGTTAATTACAAGACATCCCTCTTTAGAAGGATATTTATGCATGTCCAATTCCTACCTGTGAGCTGATTAATGGTATTAGATATATAAAGTTGCCTTTGATCATGAGTCAGAACCTCACATTCCTTGTCAATTAAGATACAATACTGTTATTTTCTATAGTCCTCCTTCCTTTGCAAGCCAAAATGAGATATTATGCCTGGTTCTTGACACCTGCAGTAGAAAACTCATTTTCTCACCAGGACTATACATTATGGAACCGCCTTGGGGCAACCTTGGCAAACGGGGATCGCAGTGAAGAAGCTGTGGAGGCCTACACACGAGCTTTGGAAATACAACCTGGCTTCATCAGGTCCAGATACAACCTGGGGATAAGCTGCATCAACCTAGGGGCATACAGGTGAGTATGAAAAATGTGCCAACAAAGTCAGGCATAACAACTACCAAGTGAAAATTCATTTTCAAGCTGGGGTTATCTAAGAAAAAAATAATCAGAATGTAGCTACATAATCTCAGCTATTGTAAAATGTTGTCGTAACTTTTTACAAAGGACTGAAAAGCATTTTTGTAGCTTTACCTGCAAGTACTCTTATAATCAGTGGGATTGTTCTTGCTCTTAAAAGTTTTGTGAAAGAAAATGTAAGAGCCAATCTTTAAAAGGGAAATGAGTTAAACTGCTTCAAGTAATCCATGCCATCAAAAACATCCTTCAGGAATAAAGGTGATATTCCAGGGTCCCAGCTCTCAGGTTAAGTCAGGAAAGATGAAGGGGAGCTTTGCTGCAACAGGGAGTATTCCCAAATGTTTGGTTAGACTGAGTTTTGTGTTACCCCAAGCCATGCCCTCCTGATTGATGAAAATCAAGCAAGAACAACACAAAGGGACTGATGAACATAGTAAAATAATGTATTTAAGCCTGGCATGGAACTTTAGAAAGTTTGCCTGTAGTTGTTAAGCAAATTCCATTGCTTGTTTCTCTTTTTTTTTCTTCTTCCCTACAGAGAGGCTGTCAGCAATTTCCTCACTGCTCTCAGTTTGCAAAGGAAAAGCAGAAATCAACAGCAGGTTCCTCACCCCGCTCTATCAGGCAATATTTGGGCAGCACTTCGGATTGCTCTGTCTATGATGGACCAGCCAGAACTATTTCAAGCTGCCAACGTGGGTGATCTAGACATTCTCTTAAGAGCTTTTAATCTAGAGCCGTAATAAAAAGGATTCAAAAATTGATTAAATTGTGTTAGGAAACAGAGAACTTTTTTATTACTCATCCCCCAATGACCACATTTTCCAAAAGATCATGACTGTAGATCGGTAGGGGAATTCCTTCAGACATTATTCATAAAGGAAAAGTTCAAAAGCACAAAAACAGTGTAAATAAATTCAAAAGGTTGAAATGAGCTGTGGCTAATCGGACAAAGCCCTGAACTAGATGAAATAGCAGTTTCTGAAGAATCTTCATCCCATGCAAGCTATATCTCTCTATGTACATACAGCTGTAAAAAGAAAAGTATCTTAAGAAGAAACCTAGATAATGGTTATTGCACATTAGAATGGCAAGCAGTGCATCCAAGGAACCTGCTTAATATCTCATTGTACTATGCTGACACCACTTTGCCCCACAGTGGGGATTCCCTATCCTTTGGTTTCTTTGATGAAAAATCTTCTCAAGGTCCATTTCAAACACAGCTCTGAAGGTAGAGGCATGTAAAAAGGATGTGTTTTGTTTTTAATATATTTATTAGCTGGCAATCAATTTTTTGCTACCAAAGGTACCTGGATTAATTTGGGCCCAGTTCTGCAGGCTCATAAGCCATGTGCAATATCAAGAGGAACATAGTCCATGGAGGGCTGTGGGATGAGGCCAGGTACATTAGGGGAAGCCAAGTGTTGCCAGCAGAAGAGACAATTTACTCTGGAATTGTTACTGTTGAAACCAGCTGTCCTTGATCTGGGACAGCCTGATGGAGCTCGTGGCAGGGTCTGCACTTTTCTATGTACTTATGCACTTTAATCTTTCTTCCTGTAAAATAGTGCTATGCTTTTATTTTAGTCACCAACAATGGAATGTACAGGACAGCCTTGTTGGCAGAGAGGACCAAATATCATTTCCTGAAATGCAATGAGAGGGTTTTCAGTATTCTTATGTTTAAAAATGCAAATAGAGTATAAACTGCATTAACTAGAAAGATTATTATATGCATCCATCACGTACTACACATATACATGCATGTGCATGCACATACATGTTGTATGCAAATGTCATTTCAGAACATAACAAGCTACAGATCTTCATTGAAAATGAAGAAAAATATTCATAGGAGTTACTGCCTGCAGACCACACTCAAGGGAGAACTTTCCCTAAAGAAACTGGTCTATATAATGCTTGTAGGATCGAGCCCAAGGCTTGATCCTGCTTTCATGGCAAACGGCAGCAAAAGTCTCCACAACCTCCATGATACCAGAGAAAATCCTTAGATAACACCAGTATGTGTAGCTGCTTACAAATGTGTATATAAACACACTATCTTCATTTTCCCTGGCTGGATGAATGGGGAGCAGGGTTGGGGCAGTACCAATCCCTGATGAATGGATTGATTCTGCTATAATCAAACACATTTAGCTCAGGATGAATGCGTCAATCAAAGAGGGAAGAGAAATTTTTAGGAGGTGATTTTGAGTTGCTGGTATTTTAAATATTTTTCCTGAATAGTGAAAGATAAAAAGTGTAATTAGATGTGTTGATCTGTGGTCAGGAATTCAATGTGCAGAGTAGCTACTGGAATGTGTTAAAGTGGGACAAATAGCACATTTCCTATAAACAACATTAGAAGAAAAATCCAGCTCAGAGGGATAAAAAAAGAAATCCAACTGCACAGATCACAGAGAAACATGCTCTGTGGGAGTTGGACAGTTTCACCAGTACAAACCTAAAGTTTCTTGCAGCTGTCTGTTATTTTGAGCCACCACTTAAAGGAAAATTCCATCTAAGACAGTGTAATCACTGCATCTAATCACCATCTATAGGTTGTAAAATAAAAATAATTGTCATTAGAAAAATAACAGGCTTGCCCCTCACTCTCCCACTGAAGAGAAATGCCAAAAAACTACTAAAATTTTTTAAGAGTTCTTTATTGATTCATTGTTTGCACATATATTCCTGTTTATCTATCAGGTGTTTCATAACTGATTCCTGCAGCTTTCTCTAAGGATGGGACTGCCTGGGAATGTCACTTTAGCTAAGTGGGCTGCTGTATGCATATCTGCTGACAACAGTTTGCTCTTTTGCTTTGACAGCGATGTGTGATGACAGCTCTTTATTGATAAGGCAGAGCAGAAGGTGCAGTGCAATTGAATCTGGGAAGTGATAAGAGAGAAGGGAGGCAGCTTTGAGAAGAGGCTGTAAAGCAAAGGCATATGTGCTTAGAGTTTGCTTGATGCCCTGCCATCACACAAGTTCTTCTAGAATATCCTTTATGCTGTGGTGTAGGATAATCAGTGCTTACCCAGAGGAATTAGCTGTTCAGGGACTTTATTTTTATATCTTTGAAATTAACAACAAAAAAGAAGTACTTCTCAAAGTCAGAATGACAAGGGGTATTTGATTCTCATGGCAATTCACTAAACATCTCCTCCTGCCTGTGGATGAGTAACACAGAAATTATTAGGAAAACCTTATGCAAGTCCAAGCCTGTCCAGAAAGAACAGACTAAGTAGGTAGCTTTCAATTTATCCTGGGATGCACTGCTCAAAACTACATTTATCTGCTGATATATGTCCACACCCACGGGACTGCCATGAGTTGTGTGTAACCTTGAGACAACTCACCAGGGCTGAACTCTGCCTTCCCAGGGCAGGCTCGGTTCCACCTGAGCTCTGCTGCACAGGACATGGGCTACAAAGCCTGTCCAAAGATTTGCATGGCCTTGGAGACTATCCCAGCTGCTCTCTCCTGTTGTAGGTAGCCTGTGGCCAGTCAACCATGTGCCACTGCCAGAGGCACTGGGAAAGGCTGAAGCAGGGCAGATGATGGGGGACAGTGGCACATCTCACACACTTCTGGACAGGTCATTGTGGGGGACTGGCTGATAGGCCAGGCCCAGCAACTCTTGGGGCTTCTGGGCAATTCCTTAGGATCTTGGGCTTTATCATTCTCCTTTAGCCCCCTCTGCAAGCACTGTCAGTGCAGCAGACAGGATTAGCTACAGCTTTGAGCTGACCTCCTCTTGGTGTTCCTTAAATATTCAGGACAAGTTTGTATATTTGCCTGAAACAGCAAGAGGAAATATGTGAGGAGGCTGCAGCATATTAACAACCTGAATGGAAAATTCATCTACTTGTGCTTCTAACCAAGCATGAGGTGGGATAAATAAGGCGGGTGCTGAACAGTAGCAGATTGAGCCTGAGAGTGAGAGACAGCAAATCTGGGTCCTGTTCTCAGCACTCCCTGGGAGCTCGACCAAGTCAAAGCCTCTGCCATCCCTGCCCTGCCCAGGTGTGCAAGAAAGGAAGATGGGAGCCAGCATTCCTTGCACTACCAGGGGAGTATCACTGTCTCACACTGCAGGGGCGAGGCCACCACTCCTCTGGGTAGGAAGATATCACAAACACAAAGTTGATCAGGTCTAGGGAAGCATTTTCACATACAGACTACTGCTTTCAGCAGTGGAGAGACTCAGATGTTTCAGGATGCTGTAGAGCATCTGTGAGGTGAGGCCCAGTTAGAGTGCTGCAATGGTGTATCACCATGTCCCACCCCTGTTTCCCTTTCTTGTTACTCCTCTCTTTTTCCAGAGGTAATTTATCACTGCCAGGTAACTGATTCCAAGTTTTTGAATTATTTTTTTTTTCAATTTTATATTTCATGCAATTAAACGAAACGTTTTCCTAACTCCAGCTTGGGACTGTCCTTGTCCTCTGCAAAGCTTTAGGAATGACCTAGAAGCCTGATCCATCAAGCTGCTGAACCCTGTAAGCCTGGAGCCTGCACAAGAGTGCTCGGCACTCTGCATGATCAGCTCACATGCAGGTGTCACCAGGAGAGGGCTGGCTCTGGTACCACTGCACGTGCTGAACAGGCACTGGAATCACAGGGCTTGTTCAGGGAGTGAGGCTTTGCCATGAAGGCAAAAGGCTCATTTCTGGCTGACCTCTTTAAACTGGAATGAACACAGGAGCCTTGTGGCCACAGACTGGTTTATGTCAGCTTGAAGAACTGATTTGACTTGTAGGCACACACATAAACATATCTGTATCTGGTGGTATTTTCTTATGATCTGATAAATCACAGCACTTGTAAAAATATCAAGGGGGAGGTTCAAATGACACAAAACCTCATAGGACAATATTGCATGCAACTACATTAACCAGTAACCACTATGCAGTGTTAACCCTGAGCATGCAGCAATGCTACCTGAGCATGGGTTTAGAGAATGCATGCAGAAGGCTCACACATAGGGTATTTTTAAACTATTGATTCATATCATCTGTGGAACACTTTGCAAGTCCTTTGCACCTGCCAGACTCAAATCTGAGTTGTTCATATTATCTGGAACAGACTAGACCAAACACAGAGCCCTTTTAAAATCCCATCCTTAGAATTCACTTTGTATTATGGGTTTCATGTTTGCTCCAAGTGTTTAATTAATAACAGACATCTGTATAACAGCTTTTGCAGACATGTTTTAGTACCCTCTCAAGAATTAAAAAGCTAAATCTGCACAGCTTTCACAGTGAATCTGGGTTGTTTGGATTTTCACATCTCCATCTCTAGTGTCAACCACAGAAGAGCCAGGTATCCTAGGAACATCCACAGAGCACGGGCCTCCATGGCAGAAATAACAACTGCTGTCCTTACTGGCACAGCCAAAGCCTGAGGCCTAAATCATTGTCTGTTGGAGCCAGTGAGAAATGGAGCACAGCATAAATTGGTTGTAGATCTCTTTTGCCCAAACATGCATCTGCACAAGGAGACATATTAGTTATTTTCGCATGAATTACCTGCACAGTTGAAAAAAATGTGATTTCTGGTCACCAGTGTTGTCAGCTTAGCAGTCTGTACAGTGAATTTATGTAATAAATGTTAATAATATACCAAGTATTCACAAAAGTGGTAAGACAAAATGCACTGCACGTTGTGAAAATAAAAATAAAAATGGTGGATATGCAATACAGTATTATCTACTATTCAAAGCTTACCTAGGCTAGAATCAGAT